TGGGCTGTCGCCGCTCCGGCCGGCTGCGGGAACCGAGACCAGGACCCGGGGGCCAGCGGCGACCCGGAAACACTCGGCCCGGAAGGGACGCCCCTCGGAGGCGGGACCGCGGCGAGGCTGGACCGCGGCTGCGCGCTGGGCCGGGGACAGGTCACTGCCTGCGGCCGGCAGAGACTACAGACGGCAGCGGCGGCAAGAGCAGACCCGAGAGCGAGCGTAGAACCCGTGGAACCCCGCCTGGGAACCCGAGGGACCGTGGCCGCGGCCTGTGCTGGGACCCGGAAGTGGACGACCCGGAAGTGACGCCCGCCACTGGGCCGCGAGACTGTGGCTGTCTGGGTTGTCATGGAGACGGGTCGGCCTCCGCCTCGGGACTCGCCCCTCGTCAAAACGATCCGCGAGCTGCGCTCCAGACTGCGCCTGAGCGAGCAGGGGCTGAGGGTTGGGTTCCTTGGCCACATTTCACAGACGGAAATACCGAGGCTCCAAGAGAGCGAGTGAGATGCCAAAATCGCGCGAGACTGGAACCCAGTCTGAAGGCCGCTGGGGTGGGGGTTCCGAGCGCGGGTCCCGGTTTGGGCGCTGCTGCTTACTAGCATGTGACCTTGGGCCTCTTCGTTCTCACCTGTGAAACGGAAAGATGGTGCCTGCCTCATGAGATTGCCGTAATTAGAGTTCACACACAGTAGTGCAGCAGCTGGCATACAGCAAAGATCTAAATATATTTTGCTCTGTGTGTGTGTGTGTGTGTGTGTGTGGTGCTGGGGATTGAACCCAGGGACTTGTGCATGCTAGGCAAGCACTCCACCAACTGAGCCATATCTCCAGCCTCTATTTTGCATTTTTAATCTGGTAAAATCAAAGGAAATGAGCTCTCTCTGCCCTCGATTTCCCTGAACTTGGAAGCGAGGCTTGGAGAAGGACCAGCCTCCCTGCGTTGTGACTTTTCACCAGGCACCTGTAGTACTTGCTCGGTCTACACTGCATCAATCCTGACATCCTGTTTTTGGGTTTTGTGTAGTCCTTCGCATCACGCGGACCGACAGCTCCCTGGGGCTGAACTTTTGTCGTTCACCACTAAATCCCTAGTGCATGCAAGTGCCTAGAGCATACTCAAGACTTGCTGGAAATTATTTGCCATTGAACTATTCATTCTATCTGACTTATCCCGGACATTTATTGGAAGCTCACAGCCCATTCCAAGCCAGGTTCTCTTCCTCCAGCACGCTTTTGGCTCCCCGCACCTACTACACTTTCCTGGCTTCTGTGCCTCCATATGCTGTTGCCTTGGTGTGGCTGCCTTTCCTCACCTCTTCCCTTCCCGACCTTCTTGGCTTCCAGCCCTGACTCAATCCTCACTTCCTTTCTGAAGTTTTTTCTGATTTCTCTCAAGATCCTTTTTCTTCCGTCCCCACCACACTGTCTTTCATAATCTTCTCTCAGTTCTCAGCACAATGGAATATACATATAGTTAACACAACACCCCACCAGACCCCAAGTTCCTTATTCATCTCCAGTTCCCCTGAGCTCCACATATGTCTGATCAGCAGGTGCCAAAAGATGTTCCTTGATTGTGGGATTCTTCCTCTGAACCTTAGTGACCCCAGCTAAAGCCAGTGGGGCTTCAGGAATCCATGACATGATTCTGGGGAAACATTTAGAGAACCAGGAATCAGTTCTTCAAACAGTGGCAATTACTCTATGTACCTATTGCTGCTTGGACACCCCTTAAGGTCTTTGAATACTTTATGAGATTGGGTTAAGTG